CTACCGTTCTACGCCTGCAAGTGTTCCTTCCAGAGCCTATCAATGTTGCTTAGACTAAGAAACCTCTCAGCTTCCTTCATCAAGCCTGGAGCTTGTTTGTCCACAATCTCCTGCCATGTGAGAAAAGGAAGTTCGGTGATATGACAACAAAGGATTGCATCTTGTAATTCCTATAAAATTAATATAATTGGCAAATAGCTCATTTAACTACTTGTTTTTATTTCCATATATTATATACTAAATGTCCATTAACTTTCCAACAAACACTCTCAAGCCGTCACGTGGCTATCCTATAAACGCTCTTAGGCCGTCACATGGCACTGCCTAATCTCACCGTTGATTTTCATCACTCAAATTATAGTGGACCCGTTATTTCACACCATCAGATTAGATCTATTATCAATTAAAAAAATAACTTCCTGTATACAATACAAAACGATCTACTGTTCGACGGACGTACGTAATTCGTATCGCTAACTTGGGTGTTAATGAATCATGTTGGATAAATACAACGTTTTTTACTGTAACCAAATCAAGCATATTACTCTTTTTTTTTCTTGCGAAGAAGAAAAAAATGAGTTCACTGGTACATGTTTTTCTTTAAGTGCACTGGTACAATGTTGTGCTGAATTATAGAGTTTCATATGAAATTTTCATAAAAAGAAGTGACGAAAATATTGATATATCTACAGATAATTAGTAACCAAACAAGTCATTATAGTATTCAAGGGCACTATACATGGGAATACATGGGAATTCTAGACTTTACGCTTAAGTCTTAGTTTGAGAATTAGCCATGCCAAATTAAATGATGGATTTTTTTTCAAACAAATCTTCTACTATATAGTATATAAGACTAAGAAGTCCATTAAATATCCTGCAAGTGTTCTTGAGCCGCCAAGTAGCATTCTTACAAACACTTCTAGAATTTAAATGACATTGTCTAATCTTATCGTCGATTTTTATTTAAATTGATGAACCGATATTTTAGACCATTATATTAGATGTATTATTAAAAAACTAATAATTGTTGGCAGGCAAAAGAAAAAAAATAAGTACTTCGTAGGTACGATTGAGAAAACAATAAAGCTTGCATACGGTTCACGGGAAGGAAAAAAACCAACACACGTACTTGCAATAAAAAATAAGACAAAAATAATATGTATGTAGAACCATTGCAAAAAAATCATCTTTAAAATATGATTTTATACAATTTAGAGATAAAATATATTACGCTACAAATTTATGCGAATTTATGCAAATATATCCAATCAATGCTCTATGAATGTTCTATCTTTTAAATTATTCTAAAATTATATATCCAATTTGTGATGCTGTTGTATTCTTTTAATTAAATAAATTATTAATAATTATGATATTAAATACATCACAGCATGTGAGGCCGGCATATAATAACTAATGTTATGATATTTTTTAAATAATTTCACATCATATTTAGGGTGTCAAATATCACTTGACGAATATACAACGTTAATTTAAATCTACATATGTAAAAAAACAACACAACTTAGTTTTGTTTTTCAAGTAGATCTAATTTAATTTTAATTTATTTGAAATAAGATTCTCAAAGTTATTTTTGAATTTATTATTAACTATTTGATTGGTATTTGAGAAGTGGCCAACACAAATGTTACATAGATGTGAAAAATTATCAAAGATATTTCTAGCCAATTATCTTGCTATAATACAACCCCTTAGTCCATCTTGAGATTTATGGTCATACTGTATGTTTTTAATTTACCAAATAGTTTTGACAACAAATTAATAATCAAGTAACATGTATAATAAACTACTCATGATACATTTTCTTATAGTTGAGGAATTTCGACATTTCAGACATAATTAATGGATGGATGTTTATATGTCATACAGTCTACTGACGTGACTAAGTATACTGCAATGAAATAGTTATTGTAAATTAGTTTGGGAAAATAAATGCATTCTTCAAATTAGTAAAGATGTCTCATGTGATTGTGAACCACAGGTGTTGAAAATAAACCCGTGATATTTGTCAAAATATAAACAATAACATGGTGCTTTGGAGATTATCGTGGTACTATTTTAAAATTTCACTTTGTCCTGGTTACAAATTCCTCAATTGGTTTAGGGCAAAATTTGACTCTTCAGATTTATGTGATGTAGGGAGTATAAGTAATATAAGTCTATCTAATAGATAAAGTGATCCTATTAGCTATACTTTTACAGAAAATATCATTCACTAATATATCGTAAAATCCATGGTCATCTATAGCATACGAGAAAAAAAATGTTACTTAAATTTTGCAAACTCCAAAAATAAGATATGCTAAATATTCCAGAAAAGAATCACATATAAGTATAAATAGATATGGACCTGTGATATTTTTTCTCTTATAATATGCATAAACTAGTTATTAACAAAAATATGTTTAAAATAGAGTAAAGAATATTTCAAAAATATCATCCACACATAAACATTCGTAATAAAAAATTAAACAACATTAAATAAGTTACCCGCGCATATGCGTGGGCTACATTCCTCGTTTGAATACACTTATCTTTTAATTTTGAAAGGTGTATTAAAGTGTTTACAGCGGATAACTATTCATGTATTCTGGTGAAATTAGTTTGTTTTGCCCTTTTTGATAATAAGTTATTTTACCTAAATTAATTTGATAGGGTAGTCTGAATTATATTTCCTGAATTTAGTAGTGCAATTTGAATGGTGTGAATTAAAATGTTATGCTGAAACTTTAAATCTGTAGCAAATTTTTTAGTATTGTGTAGCTAATTTTGACATTGATATATAATGGCCACCGGTTTCGGCCAACAAGAGTAAGGCTATTACCCAAAAGCAAGGGGGCTAAACTTGTATAAAAATTATTATCTCCCGTTCTACTATAATCTCACGTATACCTTAGTACCACTACTACAAAATCGATTTAGAGCCCCCCTCAAACTTTTATATGGATCATAATATTGATAAAAAAACAAGACCCATATGCAAAAAAATCAATTTTCGTGGCTGACCTCTTAACAACCCTCTCCTTCACAGATCCGGCAGCAGGCGCCCTCTCCCTTGCAGATCCACCATCGTTGGCCTTTGGTGCACCAGGGTCTAAACAACGACGATAGTGGGCGACGGACTACATGGACAAAGGTGGCCCTATCCCTCATGGATTCGGCTGCGGTGGCCCTCTCCCTCACGGGTTCACTATCGTGGGCCTCGGGTGCAACGTGATCTTGACGGCAACAATGGTGGGCGGCTGACTGCATCGACGACGACGGTGATGGCCTCTCCCTCACGGATCCGATGGCGGTTGCCATCTTCCTTGCAAATCCACCACTGCCGGCCTCCGGTGCGGCAAGGTCTCAACGACGACTATGGTGGGTGGTGAACTGCATCGACCACAATGGCTTGGGTTTCAATTTTTTTTGAATTTTTTTTCAGTTTTTGTTTTTGCAGATGGACAACTTTAGCACCTCGTATGCGAAAATCCCTTTTTCATGAACTTGTGTTGCCCGCCTGCCAAAATTTCTTTTTTTACACACACCTAGGTGTAGGCAGTTGCCATCTCCTCTTGTGAAAATAGATTTAGCCGCATGGAAAAATTGTTTTTTATAATGTACCAATGATTCTCATATTCTACAAATACCATTGTCGTCGGGCAATCCATCGACAATATATATATTCAAATATTTTTTATCTAGTGTTTTCTATTTTGCTTCAGACTCGGATATGAAAATGTATTTTATGAAACTGACGAGACCATATTAATTTGCCGTCTGTTATCGACCATTTCAACCTTAATTGCATGAGTTTGGATGTATATATATACCGCACACACCACAGGGTTAGCGATCAAAACAGTACGGAAATTTCAGACTATACTCGCTATTGTGTATGGTTTTGTACTTTGTACCGACTATTTTCTTCCGATTTTGTATTTTTGGGAAATAAAACGGAAATAACATAGCTAGGTTTCTCCGACCGCTCTAGCTAGCGGTATACCGTTTTTATATAGAATTTTTTTAAAAAAAGTTTACCGTATAGTAATACTAAACTGTTTCTAACCATTTCTAAGCGTTCTTATCCCTAGTTAAATTCATCAGCACATCTTACGTACGCGCAGGGTAACGCGTGATATACGCGCGCGCCAAGCGGAGCGGTGCAGATACGTTCATCGATCGGGATGAAATTAATTAACTTAGCGCACACGCACGCGTGATATATTAATTAATTAATTAATTAAGTTAAAACCATAAAAACAAACTTGGCTATATTTTCTCGCGCGCGTTTCATTGTTCGTACGAATTAATCGGAGGCGACTAGAAATCGGACGCCCGATTTTTGGGAGAAAAATCGAGCGTCCACATCACCATGACATCATCAAGCATGCATGCATATAAAACTATTTTTTCTCTTAAATTATTTATCCTAATCATGATCCGATTGCAACATTAAATTCGTTACAATTAAATCTTTAAAACAAAACCATAAATGGATATATTCCGATGAAAAAATTAGCTTATTATTGAATTATTTTTAAATGTTGCACGCTGTTCCACCAAGTATATCGGAATTGTTTCACTAGGTAGATCAAAAATGTTTCAATCGTTTAAATCGGGCGTTGTTTCACTTTATATAAAAACAATGTTTTAGCAAATAGCGAAAGAATGTTTCAAGTCACTGCAATATTTGATCCATACCAAGTGAAACATTATAAATACACTAGGTGAAATATTTTTTGTGGAACAAAAAATAAAACGAATTCCCTTAACAGAGGGTTTCCATAATATGTGGGTGATTTGTTGTAAAAGAATGTTTCAATTCACTTCAACATTAAATCTATACATAATGAAACATTGTGAGTACACTAGTGAAATATTTTTAGTGGAAAAAAAATGAAACGGATTCTCTTAATAGAGTGTTTCCAAAATATGTGGATGATTTGTTACAACGGAATATGTGGTGGTGACACGTGGCAGACGAGGGCACGCGTGGGAGAGATGTGGGCGGCACAGTAGGCGGCGTGGTGGGCCCCAGCGCCCGACGGCGGCTGGCATTTTCCGAATTAATCTCCCCAATGTCATTCTCCCTCAGTTTTAATTATTTAATTTGTTTATTTTATTTTATCTTTTAGCGTCAGGCAAGGCAGTTACTCTCTGAATCAACCACCGCTATGAGGTAGCCTCTACGCGGAGAGATTACCCAACACCGATCGATCGACCTCGCGCTCGATCATGAGCGCACCGCCGCCGCCGCCAGACGCCGGCGGCCGTCGCCGGCCGCCGCCGATGACGACGCTCGCGCCGCCGCACGGGCTGGTGGTCGTCGGAGACGACGCCGTGCGGCGCGCCGTGGTGGCGAGGCTTGGAGTGAACTTCCGAGGTGTACTTGAAGCTTAATTAATCAAAATTTGCTTCCATGGATTATGGATATATTTGTACTACTAGTAGTAATTAGGTTGCAGATTAACCTAATTTTTTTTGTTGATGATGTGCTGCTGGTTGCAGCGACGGTTTGCTCGGAGATCAACGCCGCCGTGGAGATGCTGCGTGAGAGAATGAAAGAATTCGATTTCGTGGTGATTTCAGAAGAGTTGATCATTAGAAGCTCAAGGCCAGAGATCATGAAATTTTTACGCGAGACAGGGCTGAGGCTACTCGGTATATGTCTCTTTTCGACATAATAACTGTTTTCTATCGTATGTTAATTAGGGTTTAGGGTTTAAGTCCAACCCTACTTTTTTTTTTCTCCCTCTTCGCCGATCGACGGCGTCCTTTGAAGAGATGAGTTCTAAGATATATATACTTTTGTTAATTAATCAATCAGGTTGATCGAAGTGTTTGAATTGAGTACGTTAGTGCTCTAGTTTAAACGTTGATTTTAAGCAACTTTGTAAGAGATACTCCAATATCCACCCATAAATGTAGTATAGGAGAGTTAATTTGGCTATGAATTAGGACAAACACTAGTATGCCAAAATCCTGTCTAGGTACATATATATAGCCAAAATAATATGGATAGATATGCATCTATTTCTCCTTGTAAAAGCAAGTCTTAAGAGAGAAAATGGTTTTTGGGATAAAGAAGAATAACTAAGTTTAATATAACAACAAGGCATGGAAGAGCGCGCATTAAACCGACGTAGCAGCAAAGTAGTTTTGTAGCCATACGTACGTGACTGATTCGTGTATATAAATTAATAGAAACATATGTCATCCGATCCCTAGATAATCTATACATGCATATTGTTTAAATATGTTGGTGAGCCAATTAATTTTTTAATTGCTATGTGAAAAATCATATATGTACATACTATATATTTTCGTGTGATGTGCAAAGTTGCATGCATATATTGTTTTATTATCAATCATCTATATATAGTACATGGCAATTAACTCTTCTCTTTTTCTTTTTAATTTTCCACATACTCGATCCAGTGCTGAGGAATGAGGGAGGCAACGAGTACAGTTTCTTACCCATGACCAATTCACGCACGTAAGAGGAAGAAGGACAACTACTCGACCCCGTCGTCGTCGGGCGATCTGCCACGGTCAACAGAGAGATTCCACAGGCGGCGTCGTCGTCGTCGTCGTCGTCGTCTAGGCTGCAGGCGGCATCACCGCACGGTGACAGCAGCAACGGCGCCCCGGCGACGACGACCATGGCGGCAACGGCGGCGGTGGCGGCGATAGCCTCGTCGGTGAAAAGGGCGACCAACAACCGGAGGAAACAACGGCGCGCCAAAGTGCAATCTGGCCGCCAGCATCGGCAGAGGAAGCGGAGGCTCGTCTGGACAGACGAGCTGCAGAAGATGTTCAGGGAAGCATTTAACCAGCTCTCGCTGACACAAAGTAATACATAGCTTTATCTATGATGTCGTATATGCATACATAATAACATTTCCGATACTAGAGTTTTGGAGCCATACAAAATAGCTACTTCCTCTGTCCCAAAATGTAGCTACCTAGTACGGGATGTGACATTTCCTAGTACTACGCTGTCCAGATTCAAAGTACTAGAAAATATCACATCCCGTACTACTCTCTCCGTCCTAAAATAACTCAACCTAAGAGGAGATGTGTCCAGATTCGTTGTTCTAGGAGGGGTCGCATCCCCTCCTATGTTGAGTTTTTTTTGGGACGGAGGGAGTAGGTAGCTATATTTTGGGACCGAGGAAGTAGTATCTAATACTAGATCCATATTAATGTTTATTTAGCATTACTTTACATGTTTATCATATTCTATGTAGTTAACAATGAAATAATCTTATTTACCAAGTTTTATGTTCAAACTACAATTTATGAAGGCTTTTAAATTTCCAATATCTAATGGATGTATATATTAAATGTTAGTTTCGATATACATAATTAAACCTCCATGACATTCAAATTTCATATGTGTATGTATATTGGTATTTATGTTAAGATTTGAATTCTTATCACTCTGTTTTGATAATAAAGATCCAAGAGGACTATGAAAAAAATGTTAGTACCATAGTTTGTTTTCTTTTACATATCCTACTTTTAAATGGAGCACAATTAGAGGATCAATTTCAAACCGTTCAAATGTCAGTCCTTATTATAATTCTTATTTCATGTGTTATATGTAGCCTTATATGTATAGGTTTTAATGATGATAATACCAAATATTGGTCCTTAATAACATAATTGGTAATTGATAAGGTCGTATACAAATAGCACTTTAAATAAGAGCACGGTGTATATATAAAATGGCTCTAAGTGAAATTTGTTTTAAATATATTTTTTTCAGTTGATAGTGTTTACAATTATTCTTCCTTCATTTTACTAAATATTAGTGCTTAATAATAAATTATTTCCTATTGTTTTATTAGACCCGGTGCCCACAAAAATACTTTAAGTTGATGAAATTGATGATTGATCCGATGAATGATTTAAGTCTAACCCGAGATAACATTGCTAGTTATCTCCAGGTAATTAGATCAAAACTTCTCTCTTCCTAATTAGAATAGATAATATTCTATTGTTTTTATCTTGTTGTGAATGTTATGAATTTTTAATTGTCTAAAAATTGTTTTGTGGACTGCAGAAGCATAAGAAACGTCTTCAAAAAGAATATCAGAAACATCAGAATCTTCTTGAACAAAAAGACCAACAGTTACCTATTGTTGACAATACCAATACCAGTTCTATCCAACAAAAAAATATGCATTATGGTAAGTATGATAGCATGAACAATCAACCACTGGTTCTATCAGAATCCTGCTACAATGAACATAGTAACAAGCAACCCAAGTTGAAGGAACCCACGTTGTTGACAGCTAATTATCATGGGCTTAGAAACATGCATCATCATCACAAAAACATCATCAACATGGAACCTTCCAATGTACTGCGGCCTCCTAACTTGAACAATGCAAAGGGCTTTAATATGCCCTTCAACAAGGAAGGAGTCGATGAAGCCATATATCAGAGCCAACTAATGGCACATCAAGTTTATGCAAATCATGTTGATGCAACAGGTACTTATTTGTATGAATATTTTCATGAATATATATTTCAATTTATGAATTCTATATACATGATACGATCCCATAACACTCCATAATTAGTTTTACAAAACTCATAGTTTCTTTACTAATTTGTTATAGCACAAACCACCTGGGAAGTAACGATGACGCAAGATATGCGCCCCATATCTCAAGTACATCAACATGGTTGTGAAACAACACCTGTCGATTCCTCTAATAATACAAATGGCATATCTGAAAATGTAAGTATGATTTTATTTGTTTTTTCTTTTATTTGCTAATGTATTTTTACAATCATATATTTCTTTTGTAGAATAATTACCATGTTGGGAGGAAGAATTCTAGAGCAAATATGGTTGGCATCCTTTGGCCATTGTTGAGATAGATTTTGGCGTGATCGCAAATTTTGATAGGTGTGGCTACACCTTTGAGTGCTGAAATATAAGTTGCTGCTTCTATCTTAAAACAATATATATTCTTAGTTGAAGAATTCATATTGCTTATGCTACTTTAGTTAATATTAGTAGTTTCAGGGAGTTTGGCTTAATTCATATCCAGTTTAAAGTTGTCTGGATATCAATCTCCTCTAAACAAGGTTGAAACCTTTAAGAGAGTTTCTATTACATCTAAGAGAGATATTGCTTATGTGAACTCAAGTCGTACCATCCGGTTTAGTTTATTTGAATAAAAGTAACATCAGTTTAGTTTATTTGAAATAAAAAAGTAAAATATTCCCTATCACTGCTTTCAAGTTTCAAGTAGAGGAAAAGGTTTTTGTAGATGAGGAGTTCCAACAGCACATCTGAGTTTATTCGAATAGAAGTAAAATGCTTTGTATCAGTTCAACAAGTATAGGAGACTTTTGCAGATGGAGGTATCAGTTCAACGACACAACAAATGTACAACTCTACAAAAATATGGTGCATTCAGACAAATAGTTGTAAAAAACTGCGGAATGAGGTAAAAGAAATATTTAGTTGGCAAAGTTATCTTTTTACAATTGTAAGACTGGTGTCGCCTACTATGAACAATATGCCAGGGCATGGGCGTAGCTGATTGGTCGACATGTCAAAGAAACATTTACATTAAGAAACTGTATTCCAGCATCAAGGCACTGAATTATCTCATTACTTGTACTGCTCTCTACTCTGACAAACATCCCTATAGGCTTAATTATAGGGCTGGGGACGACGACCACCAACATGGAGATATATAACGACAAAATTTTAGTGACCACACTCAAGATGCAGCTTGGGCAGCACCAAGTTTGTTAGCACCCTTGTCGACTTTCTTCTTTGTCCCCTTCTTTTCAGATTTCTCCTCTTCTTGGTTCTTCATCACTGGCTTGAACTGTCAGAAATATTAACGACAAGTCGGTAAAATCGTCAGATATGTGGGTTGCACAGAATGAGTATAGGAAGACCAAGAACAAACGTGTGAGATTTAAGTGATATTTATGCAAAGAAATAAATGGATCAGAACCAAGAGAAGGACACCGCATGCACATATCACAGTGCAAGAGACCACTAGCTGTAACGTGATCTTGTGATTCAAAACTGTTCAAACACTGCTACTAAGTGACTAGCTATGTTTTCATGATATAAGGCGGTGCACAAAGAGAAATCTGTTTCCTGATATATATATAAAAAAAAGAGTTATCTGGGATGTAACCACAGCACTCTTCTGATTCTCTGTAATGTGCATGCTTTATTCTCTAGAGAAACACTGAAAGGACCGGGCAAGTTTGAGTCAGAGGACAGACTAACCTGATAAACAGAGTAAATTACATTCCGTCGAATTTGAGCCATCATATCCAAGAAAAGATTATATCCCTCCAGTTTATATTCAATAAGAGGATCTCGTTGGGCGTAACCCCTCAAACCAACAGCCTGTTGCACAAACTTCAATGCCTGCAAGTGTTCCTTCCAGAGCCTATCAATGTTGCTTAGAATAAGGAACCTCTCAGCTTCTTTCATCAAGCCTGGAGCTTGTTTCTCCACAATCTCCTGCCATATGGAAAAAAGGAAGTTCAGTGTTATGGCAAAGAAGGATTGCATCTTTTAGTTCCTATACAGTAGCTCATTTAACTTGTTATTTTCATTTCCATTTGAATTGAAGTGCCACTGATCTTTGAATTTTCATAGGTGTATTAAAGTGTTTACAGTGGAGAACTATTGCTTGTATTCTGGTGAAATTAGTTCTTTTTTCCTCTTTTCATAATAAGTTATTTTACCTGAATTTGATAGGGTAGTTTGAATTATATTTCCTGAATTTAGTAGGGCAGTTTAAATGGTGTGAACTAAAATTTAATGTTGAAACTTTAATTCTCTGTCAATAATGGTATGCATTACTGTTAAGGCTTAAACTTTACGTGATCTTATATTAATTCAAGCAAAGCATTTCTATTCATGAATCCACAGGAAAAAAACAACTAACAGCTTTTTGGTAGTATGCTTCACGTCCTCGGGTACGAAGGTACTCTTGCAAATCCTCATAGCTTGACGATTTGCCCTCCAACAATTCTGGTGTCAAATCATCTAATAGATAGCAATACCTAGCAAAAAAGGTAATCAGAATGTTACAAAGGATCTACATATGTATAAGCATATGCATAAATACAGCCGATAGATCCCATGAAATATTTTTCCGGCCAAATACATATGTATAAACATTATCTGAAAACTCACTGTTGAAGTTTAGCTATCAGTTTGCTAAGATCCCAATCTTCTCTCGGGGTATCAGGGCCAATGTTTGCCTACCGATAAGAGAAAAGGCTTAGAACAATGAGGCTTATCATTAATGTATTTAGGAACAGCTACCAAACTACATATATAAAAATTGTAGCTGGTAAGTGTAACTAACCTCTAAAATGTCATCAATTGTTAATTCAGCATATTCCACAATAAGTGATTCAAGACTATCAGACGCAAGAGCGCGTCTTCTTTCTGCATATACTCGATCTCTTTGGCTATTCAATACCTCATCATACTCAAATAATTGCTTCCTGATATCGAAGAAATAGTTCTCAACTTTCCGTTGAGCTTCATCTAGAGCCCTTGTCAGCATCTTCGACTCAATAGGAAGATCTTCGACTCTGAAGGCTTGCATCAAACCCTACGTACATCACGAATGGCAATGTTATCAGACAATTGAATTTATACTGTTCTATTTATTGGCTCTCATTAAATGTTTGAACTAATGCAAGTAGTACTGAATCATGCAGTGGTTTTCTACTGTACCAGACACATTCTTGATACTACTGGTTAGAACAGGTATTGATTAAAAATTAGATTAGGGTGCTGAATAATTGCGCCAGGTGTTTTGGGTAAGAAGTACTCCATCCAATTTATTGAAAGAAGCAATATGTCAGGACCTGAAATTGGATGTCTAAACTCTGTAGACAAGTTCAGAATAATTAGGGTTCGCATGAGGGACAGTTAGGAGCGAAGCCAGCGCCCAGCATTTCATCAAGTCTGCTTAAATGACTAGGATGTGATACAGTGGATCCAAGAACTAGGATGCAATGTTGTGGTCACTGTATATGCCATGCTTGCTGTCCTTTGTGTTTTGATGTGTGATTAAACTGTTTGTCCCAGTTAATGCTGATGTAATCAAGCTTAAAATCAGGACATATAACCACTCTAGCAAGTATAAATATGATGCCCTAAGATATGTTTCGTCCAGGAGTATGAATAGCATATTGTAGAACCCTAGATTTGTTCTTCTGGCTACCACAAAAGGTGTTCAATTCTACTCCATTTCAGAGAGATCCATCTCGGTCTTGAGAGAGATAAGAAATTACAAACCACATATGGATCAACTACTATTTACTGATACTGAAACGTTTCATGGCACCCAATCCAAATGGCTGTGAGGTAGCTGTACTTTCATTAGGATGCGTTGGATTTAGCAGTGGATGGATTGTAGATTCTGATGTTCCACTTTCATGAATGAGGAATATAGTCATCTAAGAGTAGAAAATTCAAATACTGAGATAGGTTACTTTGGATGCAATGATGTACATTTGCAGCCCTACAATATTGATATTGTTGCAATGTCATCCAGAGAGAGGAAATGGAAATAGGGAAGATAACACAAACCTGTATCCTGTCACCTCCAAAAATTCGGAATATATTATCCTCAAGACTAAGAAAGAACCGAGAGCTCCCAGGATCCCCTTGCCTGCCACTTCGACCACGGAGCTATACCAGATAATGCAAACAAATCAAATGGGATGATCCATGGGGAAGTGTCATAAGCAAAACACTATCAAAAAGTTAGTAGTTGTTCTGGAGTTCAAAGAAATCAATATTACTAATGAAGTGCACCATCTCTAAATGTAGGGAACTGTGGGATTTATCAGCATTTTCAAAGTTTGACCATGATCATATGCAAAATACGGAAAGAGCTTGTGTCAAAGGCAGAATCTTGCAATTTGCTTGCAAACAATGATAGCTCAATCAGTATATTACCTGATTATCAATTCTGCGAGATTCATGACGTTCTGTTCCTACTACATGAAGTCCACCTGCTGAAATGACCTGAACAAATGACAACAATACCATGATTTCTGTGCACTTCAATAACAATGAATGAATATGTAAATATCCTCCTCATTGTGCATTATAACCTGCTTCTTTTCCTCCTCTGTGTAAACCTTATATTCATCCATTATCTTCATGAATGCACTTCTCAGATTTGCAATTACTTCATCACGAGTTGGTCCCTGAGATACAAAGAAACACAGTTAAACTTCCTGCATCCATTTTTTTGTGTGTCTTTAGGTTGCTGTGGTGGGAGAACCATGGGGCTAGGATGTATGGTAGGTACCTATACTATTAACTGGGTCAAACTGCTGTCTTTGCACCCAAAATACTAACCCAGTCTACTCAAACTTACTCCACCAAACTCAATCCCACAAGGTGCAGTGCACTGGTAGCCCAATGCCTTCAGCCATTAGAGCAATACAGCATTCCAGGCATGCGCAAGCTCCTGACTCAGAAATGTCTCTCTACTATATCTCATGCCTAGGGTTGCTCCCCTGCTCGGCAGTTCTCAGGAATCATGATTTACGCACGCACGCCATGTACCGTCCTCAAGAAGCGTAATGCCACTGGAGTCTGGAGGAGAGCAGGCTGCTTACTACCAACAGGGCCCTGACCAACAATAATGCATGCGTCGAGCCACTGTTCTTGGGTGGATAGGCAACCTATTATACCTATGTGAAATGTGAATTAAGGCTGTACTCTTGAATGATTGACTGATTGTTTGGTTACAGTTTTTCGGCAGAAACTTTTTTTTCTCTATGTCATACTGACAGTTAATTTTGATACAATGACCTTCCTGGCTTCCAGGAACAAAGCAAAAATTCACCGGTGTTCATTGCCATGCGTGTAGCATCTATCCAAGCCATTGGTGTGCTTTTTTTTTATGTGTGCACCTTGTTATATAAAGTTGTTATCTTATTCAGAGGGTTTTTCTTCTCTTTTGCAATCATACTGGATATTTCAGTTAGTTTTTACGTGGCTTCACTGTAATGTTTGGACCTGTACTTACAGTTAGTCAATCCCTTGTTCGCAATTACAGCAACCTTTGGAAGTATATCTCCAAATTCCACTATTAGTATAGATCTTCCCTATTTTATGGTGTGG